AGTTTAAGAACAGTTTGGATGAACCTGGATTCCTTTAGCAGGAACTTGATTGGTATTAAAATTGGAGTTGATGAATTTGAACATTTCATTTTATGAATAGTATTTATATTCATACATTTAAATCTTTTTTCAGATTTTTCTCTCAATCTATTAAGAAATCTTTATAATTTATTTTAGTTTTTTGTTTTGTTTTTTTTAAAGCTACAGTGTGTAATAATTACAGGCATACAAATTCAGAAATTTAATATATTATACATAACTATGTTATTTATCATCACCTATGAGCTCAGCCTTTTAACCATAACATTTGCGTTGCCTTAGAATTCGTTATTTATAATCAGTGATGGGACTAACGGCGTTGAAAGTAACGGCGTTACTAACGCCGTTACCTTGTTTTAGTAACGAGTAATCTAACTAATTACTTTGACTGTAACTATAATGCAGTTACCATTGCAGACACCCCGTTACTGCGCGTTACTCAGGTCGCACTATGAACCTTTTTTCATGATAGGACTCGTGCGCTGCTGCGTGAAGCTGACACCCCACCCACGTCAAAAAACTCTGCAAATAGACTGAATGGTTAGTGCAACGTTAGTGCAGATTTGTGCAGAAAAAAATATTGTTTGTGCTACTTTTGTTTAACAGATATTAGAGATTATTTTTTAGGTCATCCAGAGGTGCGCGCCTTGTCATGAGAGAGGGGAGGATGAGAATGGCTGATGTATGGTGAGATTCCGTCTGTCAGTTGGGTAGGTGGGTGTTTCTGCTGGCGGGTGTTAACGTACAGCACACACAGAGAGATGGAGAGTGAGGATGAATCCAGCAGCAAAACAGCTTTTTCCTGATGGAAATACCGGTGTTACGTCGAGCTGCGTTTCCTCATCAGATACGGTTTCCTCTGCATCTCCGCACAGCGCAGGCGACAAGAGTCACAGCGCAAGCGACAGGAAACGCGCATGCTCGCAACAGTCGCCCTGTGCTCGCGCCACAGGAGAACTATGGAGAGCGTGAACGATCAAATGATTAACCTGATAACAGTCAGAAATGATAGCCTATATGGAGAAAGGGAGAAATCTGGATGCTTGGATGGATGGATGGATGGATGGATGGATGGATGGATGGATGGATGGATGGATGGATGGATGGATGGATGGATGGATGGATGAATGCATGCATGGATGCATGCATGGATGGATGGATGGATACTCTGACTTTTCAACCTACTGTATTTTTTATTTTAAACATTATTTGATGGCCTTTGTGGCAGGGATGGAAATCCATATTTTATGTCACACACAGAGTATACATCTAGATAGATAGATAGATAGATAGATAGATAGATAGATAGATAGATGTTGCAGTATCTATAACAACCCAAACACACAGGATTTCAGAATTAGACATCCCCAGTCATTAATTTCACCAGATCTGAACGCCCTGTTAAAAAACTTCACATGGCGTTCCCCCCTGATGTCATTTACATTGACTTGCAATAAATGCTAAACTCTCTGCAGGTTCTTGTCTTTGTCGTCCGCTCTATTCAGCTGGCTTTGGAAACACACAGCGAGAAGGTGGGGGCTGGGTGGGGAGGGTTACGGGGGTGAGAAACGCAAAAGTAACGCAATAGTTACTTTTACTAGTAACTAGTTACTTTTATTGTCGAGTAACTCAGTTAGTAACTCAGTTACTTTTTGGGAGAAGTAACTAGTAACTATAACTAATTACTTTTTCAAAGTAACGTGCCCAACACTGTTTATAATTACATAGGAGCGGGTCTCGCAGCCATGGAGGCTGACATCTTTGCGCTACGGCAGCGCAGAGGCAACAAACTAGCGATTGCGAGATCTCCCATGACGCTCGAAAATAACTACGGCAAGTTGAGAGAGATGAACTGAGACGGTACTGAACAGTAAATGGCAGTATTATGCCTGAGAAGCGTTTAGTCTGCCTGAAACCAAAGAAGAAGAAGAAGCAGGTATACTGCGCCTCGGTAACAAGAAAGGTAAACAAGGCGGCAGGCGTGAGTGACTTTGCAAACTGTTTGGCACTGTGTGGCCAAACATCAGACGAATGGAGGATCATGCCTACTCTGTATCACAACGAAAAGCGGCGGACACCGAACCCCCGTCATCTAAGAAGCGGAAACACGACGAGAATAAACGCAAGAGTGACAAGAAACGACAAAAAACACGGATCAACATTGGCACGGCATTTACACGATGGAAGTCACTGATGGAGGAAAAAGGTTTTCAAAGTGACGCTCAAGTTGCCAGTTTTCTCTTGGACAGGTAATTAATCCTATACACACAATTGTCTAATATCACTGCAGTTTTTGGAGTACAGGATGCTCAGACCTGTCTAAAACAATAACATGCTGCGTGATGATGCTGTTACTCTCCAGTATACTTATTCAGCAACGTCCCTGACGTTTCACAGGTAATGATTCAGTAATTTTCTGTAAAATAATTTTCTGGATATATACCTCGGTTACTTCTCTCCGGCTCCTTTGGAGATCTTCAAGCCTTTCCTCCTCTGCTCTCACCCCGCTGGCTCCCCTCTCTCGCCTGGCCCCAGCTGCACGCTCACCCCGGCCTCTCTGCCCTCTTCCTTTCCCTCTTCCTTGCCTTGTAACCCCCGTGCCACAAACAAGACTTGGACTCTGTAAACGGGGAATATATATTCTTCCAGCGAACACAATCTCGCTGTTAAACTAATGACTACAATTACTTCGTCTGTTTATATCACCATGCAAAGCAGCTCACCAAAACGTCACAACGACGTAGAAAAAATAACGGGTATATTTATTATCTTAAGTCTACATGAAATCTATACCCTACACAGACTAATGAAATACTATCTGTAAAATTATCTATGTAAACAAACCTCATCACTTGAGAAGGTAGGTGATGCGGACGTCGTGGAAGACATTTTGTCCCGTAACGCTCGCCGTACTGTTGGGGGGGAGAAGCGGTGGGGGGGAGACGTTCATGTTGCTGCAGTCTGCAGTCTGACCGCTAGATGTCGCTGAAAATTACACACTGTAGCTTTAATCAAATAATTACCAAAGACAAAAACAAAGCAATGCAACTCAGACATTTTGCGGAAGCTGTTGAAATGAGATCGTATCCATACTTTTTTAGACAACTGCGTTTGTTAATTTGAAGGTTTTATGTGTGAAAAAGTTTTCCTATCAACTTTTACAAACTTTTCTGACTCTCTCTACATGTATTTATGCGTTCGCATCACAAAGACGTGTAGAAGTCAGGTTTCTGACAGTAATAACTGTTTAATTTATGACAACCTTTATTCTTTCTTGGTATAAATCAAGATCCTATTTAATATCGAATTTCTTCATTCATCGATTGAATGAGTGAAGATAATTTGTGAAAGGTCACATGATGTGGACTCAGAACACATCTGTCTTTAAGGCTTTGACAGCCTGTGTATTATTGATCAAATTTTCCAGGTCTCCAATGAATAATTGAAGAGATCCTGTTTGTTGAACAGTTTGACATTAGATTTTTCCTGTAATGAAAGGATACACCGCCTATCCATGCTTACAGTGCAGCATGATGGAGACTGCAGTCCATTTAATATGGATCAATACTCGATTGTTGCAAAGGACTGTCTGCAGCGATTGCCGACCTTTTAAGTTTTTGCTCCTCTCCTCTCTTTGTCTTTAGCTACATTCAAATGTTTTATGCATCTATCCCCTGCAGGCTCCCTCTCCTTGGGATCTTTGTTTATATTCTCTTTGTGCAACCTGCTTGTGTCCTTAGCTGCATGCTGGGGTTTACAGAGATATCAGGTAGACTCTCTCTGTCCTAATGCACCTCACTGCACAAAACCCTTCGGAGAAAAAAAAAAAAAGTGTTGCAGTCTTGAGTTTTCTTTTTTTCTTCTTTTGCTGCATCATTTAACCATTTCCTTTTTTGTTAAAAATACATTGTTTTCTAGAAGTCTTTAACTCATTAGATTTATAACCTCATTTACCAACTTGGTAATAAAATTGCAGCTGTACATTGTTAAAGCATTCACAGCTAAGAAAACTACAACAAACTGGCTGTTTTTTAGGTTTCATTTCAAGAAGAGTATCTCCAAAGCACCATGGTGCCACTACTGTGTTTCACTTGTGCAGTGCTCCCTCATATATAACATTTTATGATGCAATAACTTTCTGTAAATGAGTTAAGATTTTTAAAATTAAGCGTGTTTACGCTTAATGTGAGTAGGAAAATGATATGATCTGTCAGTGGAATTAGTATTTTTACCCTTGAAATAAGATAATTATATAATATGCCCTTGAAATTAGACATTGCAGTTGTCTGACTTACTCAGCTCAAGAACAAATGCACTTATTAAGGAAAATTGAGTTAGATTAAATTTTTTTGCAGTGTAGATTAGAGCCTGAATGCTCCACTTTTACCTCATTTGAACACGTTTTAAACTTACCTCTTTTTTTTAATCTATTCTTTGTAAATGCCCTTATTACACACGACTTTCTGCATTTAAAAGGAGAAACATGATGCCTATGAGGACTTTCTTCTAAAAGCATGGATGTTATTGTTAGCTTAGAATGCAGAATAGTGGTGTAAACCTGCATACCCTCCATTCATATTTGTTTATTTATCTATGGGACCTGTTTGATTCAGGTGCATTGGATAAGTATCTTATAAGAAAACTGCCCGGACAATGTAAGTTTTGGGATAACAGATCTGGTAATCAACTGTTTAGTTGGTTTTTGAGCATCCATGTCTATGTGCTTTATCTCCCTTGGATTAAATGTATCATCTGCAGGATTTTGCACACTGTAAAGAAATTAAAAGTCTGGCTTTAATGCATCCACAACATGTAGGAGGAGACGCTCTAAGAACTGAAATGTTGATGCCCCTGCCTTATGATGGTTTATCACGCTCCGACTCAGTATCTTTAAACATATTACTGTTTTGTTTTATCCTATCAACGTCCCCCTAATTGTATAACTGGTTTTGGGCCAACAGCGTCCTTCGCCGCCTCCCGCCGTAGCTGTGATGGAAGATGAGGCGGAAAAGACATGCGGCCCAACTGGATTCTGGGAAGCTCTCACCCCGTGTAACGGCTGCCACAACCTTGGTTTTTCCAGCGGCTCTCAGGTACATTAAACACATAAAACACCTCCTATAAAAAAGACAAACTGATTGAGCGGTTTCCGTATATTAATGGTTACCCTCTTTAAGCATATGTTTCCTGCATGAGGCAGAAGAAAACAGCCCTGCAGGTCGAGTGAAATGACAGACTGGTGATGTTGACGTTGCGCTTGGTGAATTTTTTCACTGGTTACCTTGGGAACAAAGTGAATAAGATTTGCTCTCCTGGCAGTTCTGAATACTCTCCTCATTTTTTCCTCTTTTTTTAAGGTGTGCATTATGAGTAGCACTTAAGTTATGCTTTAAAATAAATGACATTCAAATACCTGAAATCAAAAGAATCCATTAAAGGTTAATCTTCCCTCTGGAGGAAATTAATATTACATCAGCAGAGGAATACAGCAGAGACTGACTCTTAATCTTTGGAAACCAAACCCTCTCCTAGCTTCAGTTTACCACCCAGTTAGCTATGAATGCATTTGCCACTTATTGTGTGTAAACGTGCATCAATGAGTGTTTAGTGGTGAAACGCATGCTGGCAGTAGCAACAGGACACCTGACATTTTTATCACAACAGACCCTGTGTCTTGTCCTCTGGCAGCCTTCCTAGCAGACTGGCTCAGTGCCTTGAGAGCTTTGCACCTGCATAGATTCCTGTGTAGCTGTTTGTGCTTAGGTGCCGATGGCTTTTAAAAGAGAAAAGAAAAAGCTCTGTGCTTATTAGTTTAATTGCGTGGAAACATAAAGCGAATCGTCTGGTCTGATCATCGTCTTCTAGGCTTTCTGTGGGTGGATTTGTGTGCGAGTTTTATAGAGGAGGTAGGAAAAGTAAAAGAGAGGGGAAATGAGGATAGCATTTCATAATTTGGTTCAGACTCTGCTGACTTACTTTTTAAATAAAAAATGGATTCACACAATGTCTAATAGTGTGGAAAAGTCTGGAATTTTGGTGAAAAAATAAAATTCTAAGGCAGGGCTTTTCCATTCCAGTGCCTGAAATTTTTATCCATCCATCAGTAATTCAAATATGCCGTCGAATATTTGCTTAGCTGTACGTTTTCCTCTGCATTTCAGAGTTTGCAGAGGATTCATTTCTGTTTGTCTTCTCCTGTCAGAGCAAACTAACTCTGTCTAACACGGAGTTTACATCTCTAAGATTTAATTATATCATAATGATGTTTTCTTTCAGTCAGAGAGAAGTTAATTATTTCGTTTTTATAAACAGAAATGCATCAGGCCTCATAAGCTGGAAGCACGGGATTCAATTTGTTCATCATTACACAACAGACTGTATAATAAAGTTAGTCACTCTCCCTCCAGTCATTTGATAGAAACACTGCAAACAGAAATAACTGACGTTAGATCGGGAGACAATGCAGGAACAGATCAAAACGAACATCTGGAACAACTTTAAAGCTTGTCAGGGAAGTTCATTAGGGTGTTGTCTCCCATGGCAACGTGTTAACAGGCAGAGAGAAAAAGGTAATACTGGGATAATAAAACCTAACTAGCTGTTCTCCAATAAAATGGTGGCAAAAGCATCAATCTATGATAGTATTTCTGTCACATTATCGCTCAAAACTAAAATATTTGTTCCTTAAAATACAATGTTTAATATATAAACAAAACTTAATACTATTCAGGATTGTGTTTTAATAAAGTACTATATGTACCTCGTGTCACAATGTCAGATTTATTTATATAGCACTTTAAAAACAGGTGAAAAACTGCATCAAAGTGCTGCACAAGAACGACAATACACAAGTTGATAAAAACACAGTAAGAAACACTACTTCAAATAAATGCCAAGAAATAAAAATTTGTTTTGAGAAGTGATTTAAAATGATCCAGGCATTGGGCAGATTTAATTAGGAAAGGAAAATTCTTCCATAGAATAGGAGCAACAGAAAAAGGGCTGATTCCCTTTCCTCTTAAGTAGAGTCAGAGGAACTATCAATAATAGCTGATTAACTGATCATATTTTAAAAGATCCCAAAGATAAGGGGGAGCTAGCCCAATTAAAACTTTATAAGTTAATAAAATCTTAAAATATATTTGATAAGAAGAGGTAGCCAGTGTAAAGAGGTCAGTATAGCCCTTATATGGTCATACTTCTTGGTTCCTTTAAGAAGTATTATCTAGTTTCCTAATTATGTTTTTTCCCCAATTAATTAAAAACAAAAAAGTGCCTTATTTAATGTGCTTCACCTATTGTAACCACTTGATTACTGTACATTCATGGTATTAAATGCATCTCTGATTTTATGGAAATGTTTTACTTTATCTCAGTTTATGTAGATTCAATCATACAAAACTACAACAAATTTTGTTATCCTGTTTTGTTGACTAAGATCGCCCCTGCTGGTTTTTTTAGATGTCAAAAAGGAAATTGGTAGCCAGGCTTTCATAAATACTGATGGGTAAAATAAGGCCATCTCTCTAACACCGGATCTTTTTACAGGTTTAGATCATAATGCTAAGATGGAGGACCAGTAGAGACTTCTGGGAATCATCGGTATCTGCCTTTAGATCTGGCATATCTTTTTCCCCAAAGTCTGGAGTTTTTATCTGAGGAAAACATTTAACACATATAAAAAAGATAATTAACCAGGAGTTTCTCTCCCAGAGTGCTCATCTAGAACATGTGAAACTTTCTTTATGAAGAAATATGACTATGATTCATAGAAACAGCTAAGGTTCCTCATCTGCTTTTGATAAGTAGTTTATATAAAGTTTATTACCTTTATTCTTTGGCTCCAAGTATCTATGTATGCAGTATAATAACAGCTATACCCCTTAGAGTTGCTTTTCTGCTCAATTAATGAACTACATCAGTGCTCCTTCCCACTTCGCCTGCCAAACATAACTGTAGTTTATGCAAATTAAACAATGTTCCACTATGCAGAGGAAAAAATGACAAATGCTGCTTTTGGAGGTGGTGATCAAAGCTACCTAAATATGCGTACACTAGAAAACTGTACGTACAATTAGAGAGTATTTAGGGCTTAATTTCTAAGCTTTATCTGAATGAAACTCTAAACCTCAGGAGCAGTACAGATGTTTGACCACAGCGTGCAGAGAAATCCAAACCCAGGATGTCTGCATCATATTAACTTTTAAGCTCAGTGATGGAATAGTGATGATTTGGGTTTGTTTCGCAGCAACAATGTCTGCACGTTGGACTCTAAAATGTTTGTATAACAAACTTTTCTACATTAGAACCTGCTTTTATTTTTGTGAGAGCTAGACATTAGTAAATAGAGGTACATACAAGCAGTGAAATCATATGAAAAGAAGATAAACTGCCCTGCTTAAGGAAGTATTTCATCCTTATTTCTCATCCAGGCATTTTCTCCCATCATTGGCTTTACTAAGTCTAGGTTTACCCATTTTACTTTGGCTTTAAGAGTTTGATCAGAAAACCTTAAAAACAGAATGAAGTCATTGACAATGTAGGTATTTTACCAGTAAAATAATGAAACCATTTAGATGGAGAAAGATTGGTTGGGTTGCCAAGCAACACAGAAATGTAATAGATGCCAGACGTGGGATGTTGATGATTTGAAAAGAAAAACCCTGAGCCACATCAGCACAGGTGCGTCAGAGAGCTGCATGCATCTGCTCCTCCTAAACGTCTCTTTTCTCACTTTCTACCAAACTTTCTTTTTATGCAGTCCTGTTTTAGAGGATCGGAGCCGACTCTGCCTTTTACAGTTTAGATCTATAGCTGTTTTAAAGACTAAGGGCAGGTCATATGAGTGCAGCGCAGGATCAGAAGCCCACCAGCTGCATCAAAGGCAAGCCTCTATAAAAGAGCAAAGATTGTCTAAGGAGCTGTAGTAGACCAGGAGACTTTTCATTTATATATCCAACATTACCCAGAACAAGCTGTAGTCACATCCACCTTTCATGGGAAGTGTTGCCCATAAATGCAGCGTTTCTGGACAGAAACATGGCTTTATGCTTTGGGGATGTTCTCCTTCAGGAGCCAGCAGACTTAATCATCTCTCTTTGTATTCTTGTGGTTATTAGTCCTTCTTTCATCAAAATCTGTTTCTGAAAAATACGATAGTTCAGAGATCAGGCTTAATCCTGTGATTGTTCTGTGCATCATAGCTGCTGTGATTCCCTAATTCCTCCACCACGATTCGCTCCCTCTCTGTGTGGTGTTAAAGAGTGCGGCTCAGACTCCGCAGAGTGTGCTTTTTAATGGCTTTATTCTCTGGAGACTGCAGCTTTTGGCTGTCACTGCGACCTTCAGCACATAAATGCCTCTAACTGCTGTCTTAAGGGTTCTGCTGCAGATTGACTTTATGCCGGCCTTGAACACAAAAAGCTGTGTTAGTGATGTTCAGGAACATCGAGGTCGGATTTATTAAGCAACAGTTTCAGAAACATCAATTTATTTATTTTTTTTAAATGCAAATATTTCCAGCTCAGTCGGATTGACTGGAGATTGTGCATCATTCATTCTGAAGTCTTGCAGGTTATTCTCATTGAGATTTTACTGTGGACTTTGACTAGGCCATTTTCATGGATTTACATGGATATATTGTTATCTAAAACATTACTATACCAGCTTTCCTTTCCCTGGTGGACAAAGTACAGTATTTATATATTTTGTCTTTGTTGTTTTCTTGGTGATAATGTTTGGAAATGGTCCATACTGAGAAATTTGCTCTTTAAGCACACAAAACATAACCTTGGATCCCCCCCCAAAAAAATAAGACGGCTTATGGATGATCCCCGTGTACCTGCAAAAGAAAAAGGTTTGTGAATATTTGATATTAAAACAAAAGAGGAACAGAGTGAAGAACAGAAAGAATCCCTTGTGGATATTTTCCTTGCTTATCAATAAAACAAGTGAAAGAAAAACTCTGAGCCACATCAGCACAGCCTTTAGAAATATATTGACTACAGACTAGGGCTGCAACTAACCATTATTTTTTAATCTGTCAATAACTTTTTCAATTAATTGATTAATAATTGGATAGCCAAAGGTTCCT